AGTGAACCACAGTGAAGAAGATTGCACAGACTGACTGTGCAATGACAATGCAAAGTAGCAACAATAGTGCACTGGAATATCTGTCAGAAACACCCTTTGCCTGCAGACAAGAAGCGATGGGGCCACAAAACAGACAAAGTAATAGAAAATGAAGACATTAAAGTGCTCTGAGACTTCAGGATTCAAACAGAAAGCCACCTGCCACATAACACCCTGGATTTAACAGTGGTTGATAAGAAAGACAAATAGTGGACAGGACAGTGCCTGGAGACGGCAACTCAAAGAGAAAGAACTGGGGAAAATCATAAAATACAAAGACCTGCAAATAGAATTAGAATGAGTGTGGCAAAAGAAATCAGAGGTTGTCCCAACAGCAATGGGCAGCTTGGGTGCCATCCCAAAACACTCGGTGCGCCCCTTGAACTCCATCGGCATTGACAGAGTCCCCGTCAGTCCATTGCCGTTTTCCGTAGAGCATCTCGCTTCCTGCGATGGCGCCCCTGACACCAGCCAGCGCCCTCTGCCCATCCCGGGTTCTTGGGAAAGCTTCGATAGGTTGATAAAATGTCATATCTACTCTAAACATCTGGCGGACTGTGCAACCAACAACAACAACATCAATAGTCCCTTAGCATTTGGACAGCTCCCTTCTTGCTCACCATGTTAAGAACTAATTAGCTTTGGAAGTTCTTTTGTGCTGCACTGCTCCTCTTAAAATTCAGAGTAAGTCTTGGTTATGGCACGACAAATACCAGGGGGAAAGCCGGTTGGAGCATCTACCAGTCAAGAGTCCTGGAAGGCGAAAAGACTACGTCAAAACAGCTGGGGGGGGGGGAGGAAGGAGGCACAGCAGTGTGATTGTCGAGACACCCTTTTTTTATGCATTAACCCATGTAAGAAAAAGGGCAGGGCTTCGTCCACACGGTCGCAGCCCCCCGCTTACTTTGGGTCCTCACTGCAGACAATGCTGCTTCTGTCCAACTATTCTTTTCAAAAATTGGCTTCCTGTACAGGCTGTGGCAGAGCTGCACAAGCTCCTCATTGGCAGTGATATTGTGTATAAGAGTTGTCACTTCTTCTTTTTTTTGGCAAGCTCTATTGTCATTTTACAAAAGGCATCGATTCCCTCTGCAACCGCAGAAAGCCTTTTCCCCTAAAAGGAACATTCCTGGCACGGCAGATGCTCCCTGGTGTCTACAGGGAAACAAAACAGGCCTTGTAAAGCATTTTGGACGAAGGTTTTTCACAGAGCAGGAGGGTATTGTGGAGTACATTGGTGCTTCCTCCCTCCCCCCCCCTTTTTCCCCTTAAACATCATTTTTTCTCCTCCAGAGGCAAATAAAATGCACCCTTGATCATTGTGGTTGGCTTCAGCAAATAGAGAGTTGGAAATATTCTGTTGGTGTGGCATCCAGACACGTTTTCATGCATTATCTGCAAGTAAAAAGAGAACAAATGTGTTTGTGATGATTATTGCACTGCTTGTGCTTTGAGGAGACGGCAGCATCTAAGAGATGGAGGAGACACTGGTGCAAAGATAGGGAGAAGCCCTGAATTAGACACCCGCCCACTCCTTCACTATCAGCCGCTCTGCACAGAGGTTGCAGCAAGCAACTCAGCCCTGTAGTCTTTTGAAGGTCATCCAGCAAGGCCAAAACGTTTCTGGAAGAAGCGTGGATTTCAAGAGAGATGAGGCCTTTCAGGAATCCATCTCTCCCATTCCTATGTTTAAAAGCACCTCAGAATTTGAAAAATTGTAGAATCCAATGTTTCTCAACCTTGACAGTCTTAAGAAGTATGGACTTTTAGTGGCCAAGGTTAAGAAACACTAATCTATTCCATCCCTCTAGATGAGTTGCTCTCCATTCATGGTGAGATCTGTGCTTGAAGGAGCTGTATCTGCAGTGTATCCTCCTTCACCTTCCCCATCACAAAACACAAGTTAAATTTGGTTCTTGTCAGCATTCATCCTACTAGGTCAGGGGTCTTCAAACCTGGCCCTTTTATGACTTGTGGACTTCAGCTCCCAGAATTCCTCTGCCAGGCACGCAAGGGCCAAGTTTGAAGGCCCCTGTACTAGGTGGACATGTAGGGGAGAAGATCCCTCCCAACATTCTTCTTTGTCACGTGACTCGATCCTGGCACCCAAAGTTGGGTATAGTGATGAGGTCACCAGGAGTCACCTTTGATTGGAAAACTGGTTAAATGATTGTTTACTGGAGGATTACTGAGCAGAAGGAGCTAATTTGATGACAGAACGTTTGCAAGAAGCCCTCGTATCCAGAGGGAACAAGTAATGTCACACGTAAATGACACTATCGTACAAATGGTGGGGATTACTGAGGTCATAACAAAAGGGGCCTTGTCACAATTCCTACCAGAAGGCATTTCTCATTTTATTTATAAAAGTGAAGCTGAGGTATAAATAAATACATTTATTTATTAGCAGCACATATTCATAATGTTATATATTCAGTCATACAGTTATAGGCAGAGAGGGGTTTTTTTGTTTTGTTTTGATGGGGCATTATATGCACTGCCCTTTTATGTGTCCTGGTGTTGTGGGTGTGAGAGAGAAAGAGTAAGTTTAAAAAATTTGACATCTCAAGGGCTTTTTTTGCTGACCAAGCACTAATCGTCCATCATTTGCGAAACTGGTGTGTGCCACCTAGTGGTCTTTCTGGGTATTGTTTCAACTCACGTCTTGATTTTATTAGAGAAAGTGTTTCTTGATTGGAAAACTTTCTTCACAGGGGTCTGCAAAAGTTGTGGAATTGCTTAATCACTGTCAGGAAATCCCATATCTGAGTCTTACTTTGCCTGTGTTTGCTTACTATTCTTTAAAAAAGTAAATTTCCCTGAGTTATTTGTCTCTTACGGGTATTGGATTAAACATCCACTTTATTGGTTGCTAAGATAAATAAGTGCTAGGAGTAAACAAAATAAGTTATTATTATTAATAATAATCATATTCACACAGTCAGCCAGATGCTCAGACTGGATTTGGCATTTTGTCTACCTATCGAGTCCTTACCCAGGACCTGGGATAGGCAGATGTGGATGTTTGATGGTATTACAGATCTCGTCGCAGGATGGAAGCCATTCCTAGTAAGGCCGCCTTTTGCAATTGACTGATGGCGAATGTGTCAATGCCGATGATGGTGTCCAAGTGGTGCTCCAGCTGTTTTGGGATGGGGGGGAGAGAAGCAGCCCCTTGCTCCAGCTGCTCTGCAGGAGGCTGGCTCTGGCTTCTTAATAGCCACACCAGGGCTGGCTGAATTGCCGGGAGCCGACCTCTGGCCGTGACAGAGCATCCTAGCCGTAGAAGCAGAATCCTAGCCAGCAAATCATCGGCATTCCAGACCGGAGGGTGGTGAGACACCCTCACCCGCCTTTCCTCTTCCTCTGCTGCAGGGCTGGGGGACCGTGGCCCTCCTGGGACTTGCGTACGTCACCCCCCAGAATCCCTGAGCCAGCCTGGCTCCGCACACCTGATCCGGCGGGAGGAGACTTGTCACAACCAAGTGGGGAGGATTCGAGACTCACAGCACTACCTGGATCAGGGTAAATATATTTTAAAAGCAAATAGGAAATTTGGACACCTGAGCAGATGCCAACCCCTGGCCAGCATTGTCTCGACTCAGAGGTTACCAGGGCTGTATCTGGCCAGCACTGTTAGGAGAGACCACCACCAGGAATCCCTGAGCTGTGGAGCCCCTTCCCAAGCAAAATATCCTAGATGATGGCAGTCAGTTTCCAAGAAAAGTACACGAACGCATTCAGGAAATCATCTGGATCCAAGCCCAGCCTGACTTTTAGGCTATTGCGTGGGATCAGCTAAGGAAAGAAATGTCAAAAGGTGTCTTTCTTTTGCCAGTTGTGCTAACAGCTTTCTCGTTGCTTTCAGTGGTGTCAGATTAGAGTTCTTGCAGCAAAAGCTTTATGAATAATTGACTTGGAGAACAGCATGCTGTGGAAGGGCCCTGGGAGCAGCAAGCATTCTGCTGCTTTCTTGACATCTTGAAGACTTCCTTGTGCTCCTTTAATGAAGGTTGGGCTACCCAAAAGCTTTGTTCCAGGAATTAAATGCACAGAAACACCCACGTTGCAGTAAATACATCAAGCAGCACAATATCCTGGAAGTCACGCGTCGCTATTCTGAAAAATGTTCTTATTTTTCTTCCGTGCTTTGTCGGTTCCAAGCATTTGGCAGCACCCAGGCTAGGTTTTCTCTACTTGGGGCCCTCTGGGGAAGTGGGTGCTCGCCCCTTCGTGCTGACTGGGAATCCGGGGAGTGAGGGCTCAACGTGTCTGAAGGCCATTCATTTATTTGTTCGTTCGTTCAATCCATTTGTATGGCTGCCAGTCTCAGCAAGGACTCTGGGCAGTGAGCGCTCAGTCCATCCTCAACGTGGCTAGGAACTTTTCACCTGTGGCCAGGTTGCTCTCGCACTGTTCATGAATGGTTGTTGAGGGAGAGATTTCTACTCTCGGATTGGCGAAGTCTGTTCTCTCTATTATGCCAAACTCTGCTATTGACCTAGTTACTGATGTCTGGTTTTGTAGAATCTGACTCTTTCAAATTTGGGAAACTTCATGTATGCTAAGAGAGGGCAATTAGGTGGATAAAAATTTCATTTTTTTTCAATTCAGAATATAGTTGGAAGGGACCTTGGAGGTCTTCTAGTCCAACTCTATACCTATACCATTCCACACAAGTGGCTGTCCAGTCTCTTCTTAAAAATCTCCAGTGATGGAGCGCCCACAGTTTATGAAGGCAACTTCTGTTAATTGTCCTCATTGTTGGGTAGCTTCTCCTTAATTCTAGGTCGCTTCTCTCCTTGGTTAGTTTCCAACCGTTGTTTCTTGTCCTGCTTCAGGTGCTTTGGAAAATAAGTTGACCCCCTCCTCTTCTTTGGGGCAGCCCCTCAAATACTGGAATACTGTTATTATGTCACCCCCCCCCACTCCTTTTCTCTAGATTAGCCATACCCAAATGCTGCAACAAAACGCCAGATCAAGTTATAAAACATCTGGCTGACCGCATGACCAACCATTGTAATAACCACAAACAACATTCCGGTTTCAAATTTGGTACATGCAAGGATGTGAAGACAAAATGATTGCAATTGTTAGCTTTTTTTACGTTTTCATATAACTCAGAAGAAATAAGTAGAAGTAATAGGACATGCTGCATGTGTATTTATGAAGGTGAAGTCCGCTCCTCTAGGTTGCGTGAAAGGGCTGGGAACGGGGTGGTTGGAGAGAGGAGCGTCTGACTGGGAAATAGGTCTTTGACTCAGTGGATGTTGTCAGATTTATTAAGGCAGATCTTAACTAGTTCAAATAAATTTAAGGAGTTTCAAAACTGGTGAGATTTTTACCCTTGAGCAAAATGTTTCATGCCAGGTGCCTTATAGCCAACCCTTTTTATTGTTGACAACCACAGGACGAACAGGATTAAACACAAAGTTGCAGTTAATATATATGATGAAGGTTGGACTTACTTGAGAAGCAATTAAATCCTAGTTTTTGTAAGCAGGGAATCTGAGATTAAGATTTGTTTTTCTCAACAGCAGTGTGACTCTTCTACAACTTCAGTGCACATTTGCCTCAGTGGTGTCCTTCCAGAATAAAATGCACAACTCTAATGACTCAATATAATTACAATTATTATTTAAATCCTTCAGAACAGGCTGTCCTCAAGGAGGGCGTTGAAAAATTCAAGATGGCAGCCACATCTGTAAGATCAAAGCCTGTCCCTTTTTAAATGCATGTTGTGCCTGCACACATAGAAGGAATTTTTTTTTAAAGTCCTGTTGAGGGCAATTCCTGGCTCAGAAACTGAGCTTAAAAAGAAGCTAAAATAGATTGAGATCAATAGATGAAATAATATGAAGTTGTGCGTGAAGGCGTGTAATGAAAGCAATAGCTAAAATACAGGAAATCTCATCTTTGCCTTCCCACATTTGGTGTTTCAGACTTACTACTCTGAGATAGCGGTGGACCTGTTTGAGGCAGTAAATCAAGTTGCCCAAAATCATGAGCAGCAATAGTATATATTTTCCACCAGTTTTTGTTGGAATGCCACAGAAAATAGATGCATTCAAACTGTGATAAGCTTGATATATCTCTAAATTTCCCTTCAAAAAAAACATCCAAAACAAAAAAAGGAAAAAAGAAGAAAAAAGATGGAGATAGATTTGGGTCATCACCTGCCATTTAGGTTCTTGGCAGCTAAATAAACAATTTCAATCATTGTGGAGCCCATCTGCCAAAAGTTGCCTGCTTTACAATTAAATTAAATTGTTAGTGAGTGGGAAGAGAGAAATTAACACCAAGCTGTACATTTTCAGCATCAGAGTGATGTTTTTGATAATACATAGTTCTGCCTTGTGTAATGCCACATAAATGGTTCCGCCTGTTTCTGATAATTGTGACAGACGTGTGTATCAGCTATACATCTGGGATTGGTCTGTTACACCAAATATTCCTAATCTGTGCCATATGGAGCCTGGAGAGTGATCGTCAGCTCTGAATTTGCCATGAATTTCAGGGCACCTTCCTTCGGAGTAAATATAACATGGGCTATCTGAGGCACTACCTCTCCCCGTTACCTCAGCCTGCCCCGATAGACTTTGCAGAGGTACCACCAGCATTTGGGGGGGCCAGGAGACACGCCTTCCTTGCTGTGGGGCCCATTTTATGGAATATTATCACACACACCAAATTAGATTCGCTCCATCCCTTTTGGCATTTTGGAAATCCCTCAAGACCTTTTCATTTATGTAACCTATTAAAAATGCAAAAGTTTCTGAAAGTTCTTTACCGGGAAGTCAACTTTGTCTCAAACTGTTTTGCATTTCATATTTTTTTCTCTGCAGTTGAGATTGCAGATTTCAAGATGTCACCTATTAGGAAGAAGGTAAACTCAAGAGTCTCCTGTCTTTCTCCACAAGATCCTTCTCCACATTGCCAAGATTCATCAGAACAGGAGACGCTTCGCCAGACTCACGTTCTTAAAAGATGGGCCATTAGAGCAAATGCTGGTCGGATCAGAGGTCAGAAAGTATCCCTAGATAAGTGTTGGAATAACTCTGCTTTGCAGCGCCCGTTGTAATTTCTTAGTAGAAAAATACATCAAATGCAAATTTATCCTGGGAATCTAAACAAGTGCAACAAGTGTCCTGTAGAAGCCTGATAACATAAAAAAACAGATTTATGAATGTATTTATATCCCACCTTTATTATTTTTACAAATAACTCACATTGTGGTTTCTATCCGATACCTGTGCTAGTATCTGCTTTTCAAGATTGGAATCTCTCTTCTGTTGGCCCAAGAACTGTTCAGATCCCCTTCACCTGCTGATTATAATACTTCAATTTCAAGGTTCTCTTAAGAGTGAACTCATTAAAGTCCAAGGCTGAAGTGCAGAGAGTCTCTGTCCAGACAGTTCTGGGGTGGCAGAGAGGACCAGCCCCTGCCAGCAGTTCTTTGCTACTCTGGAGAGTTTGTGTTTTTGTCTTGCAGATGCCGAGGAAACAACACTGCGAGTGGACGAGCAGCGGCTGCCTGCGATTTAGACTGTCCTTTGGGGTGAGGTAGTAGGTTGTATAGTTTTAGGGTGAGACCCTGCCTGTCAGATAACTATACAATCTACTGTCTTTCCTGAAGTGGCTGTGATAGCAACACCGGAGCATCGTCCCGCCTTTCCAGAAGCCTCGTCATTTTTGGTGCATGATGTGTTTTGAGTATGAGAAATTCAAGCCAGGTTACAGTCCAAGAGCCTGTTTCTTACAACAAACCCACTCTTTTAGGTATACAACTCAACATCACCTTTGCATCTACAATTTTCTTTATTGTGCTGGTCAGAGTATGTAGCTCTCTTAGGAATTAAGAACTGTCCCCTTAAGGAATAGCCTTCTGGGTGATGTAGTTTATGTTACCTGGTCATATCTGTGTTCTGACTGGCCACTGGGAGGGACTTCGGTTTAATTACCAGATTTCCTGGCTTTGTGCTGCCAGCAGGGTCTTTGTGAATTCCAGCCAGGAGGACTTTATGCTCCTAAAACATGGAAGAAACTAACTCGTTTTACCTATGTGATGGATACAGATGATGCAATGAATGTCAGATGTATCTTCAGTAACTGTTGAGTTAATGTTAAAGAATGCCTGATGAATTAAAGCAGGGGTCTTCAAACTTGGCAACTTTAAGACTTGTGGACTTCAACTCCCAGAATTCCTCAGCCAGCAAAGCTGGCTGAGGAATTCTGGGAGTTGAAGTCCACAAGTCTTAAAGTTGCCAAGCTTGAGGACCCCTGAATTAAAGTAATCTCCATGAAACCTTTCCGTGGAGTTAATCTGCCTGCATCAAGCAATATCCAGCAGCAACCCCCCCCCCTGCTTGATCCAGGACATTTATTCTTTTTCAGCTATAATATATATATTGCAACTCGTGATTACAAAGGAAGCCCAAAAGGACATGACCAAGTCATGTGAGTCAAAATATCCTCCGATTTCTCAGGACCTGATCTGCCATGCAAGGAGGAGCCAGACCCAGCATGAAGGATGAAGGTCAGCTGAAGCGTCACCCGGCTTTCCAGCAGGGTGAGGTAGTAGGTTGTGTGGTTTCAGGGTAGTAATTTTGCCCCAATCAGGAGTTAACTATACAACCTACTGCCTTCCTTGAGGAACAGCTTTGCAGCCTCTCTGAACACTGAGCAGTACAAGCCTACATCGGTTTGATGCTACGTTCACATTCCTGCTTTATGCAAAACAAAACAAACAAGGACTGGGAAGAAGCTGAGAATTTCCTAGCAGAAAAGGAGAATTACAACTTTTCATCCCGTTCAGACACCTTCTTCAAGTTTTCACTATTTCAGGACAAATGTATACGTGAGTATTAAATCATTCTCTTTGTCAGAGCCTTTGTATCAATAAATCCCACTGTGTTTGCCAGTCAAGGCATGTTTCTAGAAAGACTCTAAATTATCTCAACACTGGAATAAAAGGTTTTGTGTTTTCAAGTATTGGTCTTAAGTGTCATTAGAACGGAATTAAATTGTCATGATTGTCTTTTTTCTCAGGGCTGCTAATTGACTTACATTCAGGTCTAGCATAGTAGAAAAAAAACTTGACACAAAACAGAAAGATTTCTGTTTTTATTGAGTTCAAGTAGATGCAGCCCACAACATCTTTCTGCAGGAGCACGTGTGTGTGTGTGTGTGTGTGTGTGTGTGTGTGTGTGTGTGTGTGTGTTCTAAAAAGCCAAGATGGTAGCCATGACTGCATGATTTTACTGGCAACACACAAAGAATGAAGCTTGAGGTTATGATTGTCCTCTGGACTTTTTCAACCCACATGCAGGCAGCCCTGCTTGGAAATATTCAGACAGCAAACAGAAACAGCCCTGGAGGCTCTTGTGAAAAAACAGCAGCCCTGAGGAAGATTTTCAGAGTAGTGAACTAGAAATCTCAGCCTTTGTGCCCTGCACCTTAAGAGTGAAAGGCACATCTGAGTCTTGGTGAGAGAATTGGCCGTGAAAGCTTTCTTCCCAAGGATAAATCTATCTGTATATTTCAGTAGACTGGGGGAAAGACCCTCTAGCCTAGTGGTTCTCAACCTGTGGGTCGGGACCCCATTTGGGGTCGAACGACCATTTCACGGGGGTCGCCAAACAAGGCTGTCCACCATTTTTTTCCCCTTTTCTTTGGCCACGGCCCTGGCACCCGGTGATATATAAGTGGTGGGGGGTCACCACAACATGGGGAACTGTATTATGGGGTCGCGGCATTAGAAAGGTTGAGAACCACTGATCTAGCCTTAGTCACTGTTGCCCACCAATAGCCAACACAAGTATTTCGATCCAATTCATATTGTAATAGAACAGAATATTCTTCATTGGCCAATGTGTGTGACTGAGCACACACAAGGAATGTGTCTCTGGTGCAGAAGCCCTCAGTGTACATACAAGCAACAAGGGATAAATCTTGATCGTAATCATAAAATATAATCATCATAAATCAGTGATAGTCATAGGATACTAAATCAGTGGTTCTCAACCTGTGGGTCGAATGACCATTTCACGGGGGTCGCCAAACAACGTGATCCGCCATTTTTTTGTCAGCTGGCGGCACCACGCATGCGCACATGCGCACCGCGCATGGGGGCGCATCCTTATGACTGGGGTCGCCACAAAAAAAAGGTTGAGAACCACTGTACTAAATAAACAAACAACATAAATCATAATAGGATACCAAAGGAAGGCAATCAACATAAATCATGAGATACAAATAACACAGTTATAGTCAAAAGAAGCTTAGGAAACAGGAAAAATGAAAAGATGAGAAGTGTAATAGGTAATACAGCCCTCTACCAGGTTGTCTGACATCCTAATAGGGCACAGAGGGTGTTGTGGGAATTGGTTGTGTAGCAGAGTGATGGTTGTGGGGGGAGAATCTGTCTTTGTCTCTGGTTGCTTTGGCGTGCAACGCCCTACAGCGTCGCCTGGAGGGAAGACCTTGAAACGGTTGATGTGCAGGAGGTGAGGTCTCAGCCCTCCTTCTGGCCCGTGCAGGATACAGGTCCTCAGTGGAAGGCAGGCTGGCTGCAGCTGTTTTTTTTCCCCTCAGTCCTAACTATCCGTTGGAGTTTGTGTCTGTCGTGTTTGGTTGCTGTGCCAAACCAGACAGTTACAGAGGTGCAAATGACAGACAAAAATTTGCATGTCTAATTAAAAAGGCATCTACATTTTATTTGTGTGTCTTTGGGGGGAGGACGTGTTCTGAATGGAGCCCCACCAGCCTTTTCTCAGTAGCAGCAGCAGCAGGTTCTCCGCCTACCAAGAGTTGCAGAACTACACACCACGCCATACAAAGCAGATTCAACTTTATGCCGCATTTCCCAACGCTGGGAGGTTGCCAGCCTGGGCTTCAGTCACCCAAAGAATGTGGATTCTGCTACGCTGAAATCTAAATGCGAAGAGTCCTCCATTTACAGCCATTCACTTAGTGAGTTTTCCAAGATATAACAGCACTGGAAAAGGTTGCGCTTGTGATCCTTGAGCATCCCCACTGTCATGTGATCAAATTTGTGTGCTTGGCAACTGGCCTGCCACTGTGACGGTGGCAACATCCTGGGAACCGTCGTTTGTGACCTTCCCAACCAGCTTCCAACAAGCAAAGTTAATAGAGGAAGCTGGATTCACTTAGTGACGGCATGTTTCACCTACCTGCAATTATTCACTTAATCGTGGTTGAAATGATTGTAAAATCAGGCACGACTCACAATTGAGTGGAAATTAGAAATTCTGGTCCCGATTGTGGTTACAAGTCAAGGACTGTCTACAAATGTCATTGCTGTATTAAGCCTACCTTGTAGTTCACACATGCACATGCACATGGCCCACAGGTAAAAGTCGTAGTAGAGGGCTGGACTAAATTCTTCCTTCCCGATTACGATCAGCAAAAACTCACACAGACAACTAGTTTTAACAAAGCAGACATACTTTCAGTTTCAACTGGAACAGCCAGGCGTGAGGTGTTTCTCCGCGTTCCCTACAGGTAGGCGAGAGACAGGTGGAGCTGATGTCTTTTGCCATCCAAGCGCCAACACAGTTGCAAGCAAGACAGACAGACTTTCTCCCCTTCGTGAGACTTCTGCCTTGGCTGAAGGAGGAGGACGCTTCCTCTTCTGCCCATCTGTAACACACCTGGGCAAGGGATTCGGGAACACAGGCAGTTTTTAAAACCAACACCTTTCGGCTGCATCACATTCCTTCTGTTGTTTTCAGTGTAAGTAACCCTTGGCCCAAACAATTCCCACCTCGGCTAATTTTCATCACCTTGAAACTCCTGTTGAAGACAGGATCTCACTTTTGGGGTTTAACCCTGATTAAAGGAAATCTGTGTGAATCTTGTTCATCTGGTCACGTGTTCCTGTTTAGGAGCTTGAGATCAACACATGCAAATCTGGTCTTCTCCCCAAATTAGCACACACATACACACACAAAATGCAAGGATAAACTTCTGCAACTCAACACTTGCGTGCCAGCCTGCTGCTAAATTCGCAGAAGTGAGTTTTGCAAAAATGCATATCGCTAAGGCACAGCTAAGCCATTTGCAGACACCTTCTGGAAGAAAAGAACAAAGACCTTGTCCGTGTCTGCTGCTGTTCTGGTTGATCGTTCAATAGTGTGCATGTGTGTTAAGATAATACCTCTCCAATTTGTAATCCTAGCACTGCTTCCGAGTAGGAGAAAATGGCCAAGAGAGCTTATATTTAAAAGACTATTTAAAGGCTTTCGTTCTAACAGGATCAGGTGCCTTCCTGGACATTATTTGAAAACAGTTGAAAGATGATGGCAAATACCAAGCAGGAATCATCAGCAGGAACAGCTAAAGGAAGATGTTTGATGTTTAGATCTAGATCTTTCATGAGTATTGAGTCTAGTTTTTAGGGACCAAACTTTTCATTCACTTGCAATCCTAAATCTATCCTTTTGTAGCCAACATCTTGGAAAGAATAAGCCGAGGTCACCTCCCTGCTTCATCCAAGTCTCGCTAGGCTTAGTTGGAGCCTCACCCTCTGCCTTCTGTCCTCCGCTGAGCTTCACCCAGGTTGATTTACAAAGCTTCCATGATCTCACTAGGTCACACAGTGCTGTCTCAGTTAATGTTCACTGCATCTTTCAGATTTATAATGGCTTTTAAGCCAGGCTGCACTGTACATGATGAAAAATAACACTTGAAAGAAAGAAAGAAGGGAAAAAACTCTGTGAGGATTGGACATCAGAATGGTGCAATGGCTGGAGATGCAGAGCCATTTTCTCTCCCTGCATTTTTGAGCTCTGATCATTTCGTAGACCCACCAAGACGGAATCTGCATGTGAGCTGAAAAAGAGAGGCTTCCGTGGGCTTCCTGTTGATTACACTTTCCAAAGCAAAAGACGGAACAAAGCAGTAGAAAATGCAGACACATATTTGGCAAACTGGAACAGTAAAATCAGGCCTCTTTCAAGTCAGGTTTGGCTTCTAATGACTGGAAACATCCAGGTAACTTTCTTGACTTCTAATGACTGGAAACATCCAGGTAACTTTCTTGACAACAGTTAGCAGCACGTTGCTTTATATTTGCGCTCTTCAGAAACATTTTCTGGGGCTTCCCGGCATTTCCCATTCAAATATTAACCAGGTCTGATCCTACTTAGCTTTGGGGGATCAGTCAAGGCAGAAACGAGAAACGTAGAATGTCTTGGCATCACATTTTAATGGGTGCTTCTCAGCTTGAAGATGGGTAGACTTCAACTCCCAGAATGCCCCAGGCAGTAGGCTCATTTGGAAATTCTGGGAATTGAAGTCCACACATCTTCAGGTTTTTCAGGGTTAAGAATACTGTCTTACACCCATTCTGACAAACAGGTATTATTCAATTCTTGAAATATATAGTGGATGGGCCAAACATTAAAGCATATCTGCCCAGAACCATGGCTAAAAGGAAATTAAACTATGGCTGTCCCATTTTTCTGTGCTTTCCCAGGTGATCAATATTTTCCGCAAGAGGCCACCACTGAAAGGATACCAGCATCCAGCGGCCACAAGATGGTGCCAAAAAGCTGAAGGTCTCTCCCCGTCTCGGTTTCTCTCTGTGTGTGTGTTGTGTGTGTGTGTGTGTGTGTGTGTGTGTGTGTGTGTGTGTGTGTAGCTGAATTACAAATCCAAGAATCCCCCAGCTGGAAGGAAGTCCCTGCATCTTAAGATTGCCAAAGTTGAGTAACTCTGCTCTGGAAGTTTTATTTTTACATGTATCATCCACAAAATGCAAGTGAAAAAAGGCACAAAAAGTTTCAGACAGTCATGTCCACCATACTGACTCTTTTTGACACACACACACACACCCACCCTGCAGATTTCTCTGGAATTGAAACACTTAACAGTTCACACCTTTTATTGTAGCAATTTCTGTCCCTCTCCTTGGTTGAAATTATAGAGATTTGAATAATAAATTGCAATCTTCCTACCAGTCCCAG